TCTCTCTCTCTCTCTCTCTCTCTCTCTCTCTCTCTCTCTCTCTCTCTTTCCTCCCTCTCTTTATCCCTCCTTCCTTTTCCTTCCTATCATCTTTCCTCCTTTGCTTTCCTCTCTCCATCCCTTCCTTCCTTCCTCCCTCCTTCCCTTCTTCCCTTCTTCTCTTTCTTCATAAAGAAAAAGGCTATTTATGTTATTGGCCAGATGATACTGCGGTTTGTTACTGACTACCAGCTGAGGATTTGTCAAGGCAAGTTCTTTCCTCATTTCTTTTCTTCTGGTTTACTGGGGATTGAACCCAGAGCCTTATATGAGTTAGGTAAGTTCTCTGCCGGTGGGTGTTTGAAATGTAAGCTGAAATTTAAAGAGTCAGGAAGTCAGTTGTAACTTCCCTCCTGGGCAATGCGGGCGGCAGTATACATGGGTGCTACTTATGTAGGGATCAGAGGACAAATTAGGTCATCTTGCCAGCCCTCATTTTACATTTTCCTTCTTCTTCACCGACCCAGTGATTTCTAAGGCTATGTATTAGCTACAGAAATATGACTGAGAATGAGCTGTGTCAGCCGGGGACAGAAAGATACTGTCAGGGGAGCCTAACGGCATGACCAGCGTGGTATATGGCATCGGCATTACCCAGGGATTGATTCGTAACTCTGTCCTCTTATCTGTGTGAATGGCAGAGTTCTCTTTCTTCTCCCTCAATCCTGGGAATGTGTGTGTGTGTGTGTGGGGGGGGGTGTCAAATGCAGGTCACCAGGCTTGGTGACAAGTTCCTTTACTCCCTGAGCCATCTTGTTGCCCCTATTTATTTTTTGAGATAGAGTTCCATGTATCATTTCCTAGCCTTGAACTTACTAACTAGGAAGAAATGATCCTGAATTTCTGATCCCCCTGCCTCTACTTCCTAAGGCTGAGATTACCAACCCGTACCACCTTGCTGGATTTATGTATTGCTAGGGACAGAACCAAAGATTTCATATGTGCTAGGTAAGCTCTCTGCCAACCAAGGCACATCCCTAATTAATTAATTAATTAATTAATCAATTAATTAATCAAATGTATTTGAATGTTCTGTCATCATGCATACCAGAACCAGAAGAGGTATGCATTACTGATGGTTGTGAGCCACCATGTGGTTGCTGGGAATAGAACCCAGAACCTCTAAAAAGAACAGCCGGTGCTCTTAACCACTGAACCATCTATCCAGCCTGCCCTGTTATTGTTTGTTGTTTTTGTTGCTCATTTTTTTTTGGTTTTCTTTTTGGGGGGCTTTATTTTGCAGTGTTAGGGAATGAATCTAGGTCCTTGGCACATGCTAAGCCAATGCTGTTCCATTTAGCTCTAGTCCCGGCCCTTCTTGATCATCGTCATTTGAAGCTGGAATGAATGATAGCCTCACGACATAGTGTACATCTCTCCAGACATCTCACTGTGTGAGGAAATGACGGCTGTGAACTGGTAGATGGTGGCTGACCACAGCACTAAGCCGCTCCTCTCAGAATTCTAGCGTGTGTGGATTGGGGGTTACTGTAGTTCCCCATGGCATTTGAGAATCCCCTCAAGGCCACACTTCTCAGTAGGACAAGGAGCCTGTCAGTGGGCTAAGTAGCCTTCTTCTTGTTTAGACAGATGGGCCTAATTTGATATGCTCTCTTCCAGAGCAGAGAAAGACAGTCTGGGGGAAAAAAATCACAGGAGCTTAATTAGTTCCCATCAAAGGTGGTGGTGGGTAAAATTGATGGAAGCTAATTTGAAGCAGGCTGGGAATTTGACGCTTCATTTTTAAACTGTAGTTAGAGAGATCAGTAGGATTCCAGAGGGACACAGTCAGATCTTCTTCCAGTGCAATTCCAAGCAAGTCAGAGTGTAAAGGTGATTATTGTTTGAGCTGCTCCTGGCCAGGTTATCAGCTGGATTTTCCAGTGCCATTCACTCAGTGCCAAAGCCTAGAAATCCATGTTAGATGCAGTTCAGGTTCTTCCCTTCTTCAAGCCACACATACAGTGCCAGCATCTTGCTCATGGTCCCCTTTCTCGGTGATTAGCTTGTCATAGGCTAATGTCCATAGGAGTGCTTGCCTATCGTGCCGGAAGCTCTGAGTTTAGTTTCCAGGGTTACACTTGATGGCTATCTTGTTGCATACCTATAATCCTAGCCCTTGAGAAGTAGAGATCAGAGGATCAAAAGTTGAAACTCACCGTCAAGCACATAGCTAGTTGGGTGCCATCTTGTACTTGGGCCCCTGTATCAAAAATCAAACCAAAACACTAAGGTTGAGTTTGGGGTAACAGGCTAAATCATATGATGAATTTCTTTATTCTAAATCTTCTGGGTAAATTTTTTTTTTTTTTTTTTTTGGTTTTTTGAGACAGGGTTTCTCTGTGTAACCCTGGCTGTCCTGGAACTCATTCTGTAGACCAGGCTGGCCTCGAACTCAGAAATCCTCCTGCCTCTGCCTCCCAAGTGCTGGGATTAAAGGTGTGTGCCACCACCGCCCGCTGGGTAAATTTTTGAGAATTGAGAATAAATATTCTGTAGGAAGGTATTTAGATACTTGTATTTAGCTTAGTCAGGGGTGAGGACCCTGTATTGTCCCTAAGAGCTAATTACATGTCAGCTGGAGGACACACAAACCAGAAGGACGACTTCCCTACAGAGATGTTTGACTTAGCTCTGAAAACAATAAAAGGTTTTGATAATTATGGTAGTAATTAACTTCCTGGACTAGATGGTAAGCTACTTCTCAAGGACCCGAGTAGAATACATATGGTAGTATGGCCTTGGGGCAGTGGTGAAGAAGGAAAGAGGGAGTACAGACGGGAAGGGCCTCCACGGTACACTCCGTAGTTCTGATTCGCATATTGACGGGAAACAGTTTTTACTTAGTACCAAATAGGCCTTAAAGGGATGGTGTGTTTGGACAGCAGCCATGGCTTCTACTGGGGATAAGGACATTAGTGTTTGTGAGCTGCGGGGACGAGGCCCATATTTCCACACATTTGGCAAACTCCCTAAGCACCATGTGATTATTTTTGGCTGGGAGAAGATGCAATCAAGAGTGGCAGCAGCTTTCCAAGTCCATAATGGGCTCATCTCTAGTGATGCTAAGTCTGACATCTGTCAAAGTGGCACCTCAGCCAGGAGAGAGGACACACTTGAGGCGGTGGCCTCTGGTTACTGGCAGCATCGGCTTCCTTGGAGGAGTTGAGGTTGAGGCAGTTCGGAGTTTTGCACTCAGAAGACAGGTCTGTATGGTTCTTGATGTGGTACAGAGCTGATGCAGAAGTCTCCACCTGTGGTGACCTGCAGTTGATGGTGTTTGTTGGCAGCTAAAGACTGGCCTGGAGTTTCTGCCAAATTATCATCATGATAGTGTGTGTACAAGAGAAAGGGCGCCAGGGAGAGACTAGATCTTTGGATAGTAGGAACATAAGTAGCGATAGAGCATTGGTGAAGCAGAACATCAGAACCACTGTTTCTGACGTGTGGAATGCTTCTCAGTTATAGTTACTATTCCTTGCAATTTTAATGCTTTCATTTTTTCATGTTAAGTTATAGCAAGATCATTTTCCCAAATGCATCTCTTAAGTAATGTAGAAGCAATGAAAGCAAATCTGGTGGTTTACATCTGTGGCTCTTAGGACGTTAAGGCAGGAGGACTGGGGAGTTAGACCCAGGTTTAAATTCTGTCTGTTTCACTGTCTGATGAGGCAAGCCTCAGTTTCCCCATCTATAACTGTCTCATAGTTAAGAGGTATAAGAAAAACAAACTGGAGGTCACCCTAAGTGACTTAGAACTGTTTGTTTTGTTTCTTTTCCTTCTTCCTCTTCCAAATTCAAACATTCCTAAAGGAGTGGGGAAGAGTTTATACTATTGATAACTTCATTAATATCTATTCACATGAGTGCAGGGGTTTGGGATTTTAGCTTTTTGTTTGGGGGAAATTTCAAGCACACATAAACAGTAATGACAATGAGTTTCAGGGCCATGACACCCATCCTTGGCAGCTCCCAGTGTCCTGTTACTTTGATCTCGTCTTTACTCCCTCCTCCCACTGTACTATTATGACTCTTTTAAGGAAAAATGCAAACTCACAGTCATCCAGTTCTATCAAGTGAATACACACACACACACACACACACACACACACATATCCTGATACCCATTTGTTGAGATTGTTTATTTATGGAATCAACAGAAAATATTTAGTGAGCATAGAGCCCACACTTGGTTGGCATTTTAGTGCTTCCAGAGATGCCAAGTATAGATATTCTCTCTACTCAAAAAGAGCTCAGAGTGTGCTGGGCACGAGAGAAGCTAACTGATTGTTTGGAGGTTGCACAGGGATGCAGAAGAGGGCCCCTGGCTCAGGAGGAAAGTTTGGAAGCACCCTAGAAGTGATGCCTGAGCTTCCCAAGTACAAAGAACTTGGGAGGCTTTTTTTTTTTTACATAGTAGGTGAACATAATGTTAAATCACCCAAGGTAGAAGTCAAGGTCATAGTTTGGGTGAAGGCCAAAAATTGAGAGACGGTTGCAGAAAACATACCAGAGTATATTCCAGGTAGACAAAGCAAAGACTGATTGACGTGGGGACAGAATCATGGTGCTTTGCCCTGGACCTTGGGTTATCAAATGCAGAAAGAGACCAAGCAGAATGCTGTTCTGATCTGTCCGTTAGATAACATAAAACAAATATATTTCATTTTCACCCCCGTTGACCAACTGGGCCAAGGTGAACTTGTTC